TGCCTGGTGGCCGGGCCGGGCCGGAGGCACATAGCGTTGTCGCCCCGCTACCTGAACAGGAAACGCACCGGCATCCGAGAGCAGCTCGATGCGGAGCTCCTGCGCTATTCCGAGAGGTACTGGTTTCTGTCTTTTCCTTTTCCGAGTGGGCAGTGCTGTAATATAATCTGCATCATCTTCCTTTGGCCACGGGAAGAGGTAGCAGGTGGATTTGCTGATGGCGCAGCAGAAGAGGGTCGAGTAGTAAAGGTCGCGCCCGTCTCCGGAAGCTTAGTCCGGAGGGGTCTGTATAGAGTGTGGATCCGTCCCTCAAGGTCAGTAGCTCCTTGATCAAGATCGGTGCATAGTCCCTTTCATAGGCATGTAAGAAAACTTAAAGGTGAAGCGAAAGTGTTGGGAAATGTTGAGGAGAAGAACCATGATTTAGGGTCAAGAATGGGCCATGGGTCTGAGACATTAGGAGACCTAGTTCTACTTGGCGTTGAACGTTTCACTTAGCCTTTTACGGAGGTTTTCTTATTTAACAGTGAAAATTTAGTATGCAGTACCCCAGTAGAGTCTCAAGTAGAATGCATGTAAACATTGTGGTTTAACTATAAAACGTGCTGGTTATTTTTTGTTGTTTATTTTGGCCCTGGTAATATCTCTGGATTCTCTTCTCTGAGACCAGATCAGAACTGGTGAAGCGGTTGTTCTTTGGAGGGGAGCATCTAATGTATTTAAATGAAAGTACTCAAAAATGGCTTGGAAATTCTTAGAATAACAGGGTGGGAGATAGGCCTCACAATTTCCCTGTACAGTTTTGGCTTAAAAAAGTAGCGAGTTGTTCTAAATCTACGGTAAATGAATTCCTTGTTGATCATTGATTCCCTTTTAGGAATTCAATAAATCATTGGAAATTGCAGTAATTTTCTTTCATTTCTTTTTAAGAGGGTTTTTGTTTTTTTTGTTGTTGTGTTTTGTTGTTGTTGTTGTTTTTGTTTTTTGTTTTTGCTATAGGTGCCCTCTACTAGCTGGAGAGATGGAGACAGAAAGCAAGATATCACCACCTCCCCCCCCCCCAAGGGGGATGGCCATACCACATTGCCCTCTGGGGATTCTGGGCCACAGGGTAGGGACTTGAACTGCTGTAGGCCATGAGGAAGTCCAGCAACATAACCATTATACCACCTGCTGGTGCCTCTGCTTTCACTTTATTTATTATTAAGCAAAGTATCCAAAACTTTCACCACTTTCTCAAGAGATCCTGGACCTTCCACTCAGGTTAAAAATCAAATATATCTAGAATATACAGCTTCCACATACATGACACACATTGGTTGTATGTTTATATTGTATATCAGAGACTTGGGATACACAAACAAAAAATAAGATCTTTAAAACTGCAGCAGAAAAGCTAATTTAGGTCAATAAATCAAGTGAAGTTTTAAACTTTGACAGAAATCTAAGTTAGAGAAAGAGTGCTGAATTGGGTCTTGGAATCTTTGAGAACAACTTCATAGAAAGTGCTTTGACACGGTAGCGTTCCAGAGAGGGAGTGTGGTATAAGCAAGTGAGTAGTAGATGTGCATTCGTATGCTTTGACAGAGAACTGCAATAACTGTATAACTGGATGAGGATATCCACACCAGGGGACAGCCACTGGGTCAAAGACAAGGTGGGAGATGACTCAGAGAGGGTGGCTGTTTTGTTTTAACCTTCCTGCCTTTGCCAGTTGTTGTTTTTTTTCTGTTTTCTTAAGCAGGGTTAGTGCTTCATTTTCTTAGTACCTTCCACCTGACTTGACACTCTGAGGGAGTAGTACATATCCTTAATCCCTGGGACATGGTCATATTTGCAGTTTAGGAAAGAACACTCAGTAGCATATGATACTTTAAATAGAGTGAGACAGTAGGTAAGGAGAGTGATTCAGAGATTGTTATAATTGTTTGAGGGGGAAAAAAAATGGTTACATCAGATAGATTTGAAAGATATGAGGATGTGTAGGATGGTTGTAAACTTTAGAAACATAACCAACTATGTTGCTATTTTCTGCAACCAAATACTACCCTCACTTGACACCCAAAGTGGCTTCAGTAGAAGCCTTACATCAGAGGATGAGGAATAGATATATAATTTCTATAACCAAATTGGACAATGTGGGCATTTAGAGCAGGCTACACTCTGAACAGATCTGGACACACCTCTTCCCCATCTCTTAAAGGGTTTGCTAAAGACTCCTACTTATTTGGTGCAGATCAGACACCACACTTTGAACTAACTAGGCATTAATAACTAGAGGCAGACATTTGACATATCAAGAATTTAATGTATGGGCCAGCAGGTGGCATAGTGGTTAAGGCACTGGATTTAACACATGGCCGACTTAAGTTCAAGTTCTGGACCTGGTGGCTTGGGGTGGGGGGAAGAATTCAGTGTGCTATTAGTCAACCATAAACATGGTTGTTTATGTTTTCAGACTTTTGAGGCATCTTTTAGAATCAGTGGGACTTGTTTCTCCTTGTGTAAAAACTAAGGAAAAGAGAGACTCAAAAATAGCTTTCTTATTGGTATTTAAGCCATTTCAGTAAGATTTCTATATGGTGGACTGTCCGCCTCTCTTTCCCAGTGACTAGGTTTTTAAAAAGGTATCCTGTTTCTGGGACTAGCAGTTAGCATAATGGCTATGTCACTGGACTCCCACGTAGTCTACCACGATTCGAGTCCCGGACCCGGTGGCTTAAACTCACGCCGGGCGCGTGTGTATGCGTGCTCAAGATCCTGCGAGGAGAATGGGGGAGAAGGGATTGTGGCGTGACCATCCCCCCCGGGGGGTGATTTCTCACTTTCTGTCTCTCTGTCTCTCTCTGGCTGGCTAGCGAGCGCACGTGCCCTATAGCGAAAACTTCTCCAAAAAAAAAAAAAAAAGTCACGCAGTGGTAGTTCAAGACCTAGACCCAGTGACTTGTAAATCACACTGAGATTGTGCATGCACACATGCCCAAAATCCCCAGAGAAACATGGAGAAAAAAGGATTGCAGTATGGCTGTGTATTCTCCCACCTCCCAACCTAGGATGATTTCTCACTTTCCCTTTTTCTGTCTCTGTCTCTTTCTCTCTGATGAGTGCACACACCCTATGGCAAAAACCTAAGGATAAAAGGGCATGCAGAAATAAGTATGCATTTTCTTCATACAGGGCTGCCCTGTACATAGCAGACTAGCTACATTAGCTTTTGCAGTGTTTGTAATAAACATGAATTGTACCACTAATTCCCAGCAATATCTCCTCTGCTTGTGAATCACTCTTTGAAAGTTGAGAGAAAATGTTTTTATTAGGGGAAAAACAATCTTAATTTTTGCTCTTTTGTCTAATATACAGTTACTTTTTTTTCCCTTCCCACCCTTTAACTCTGTTTTCTGTGATGGACTAGTGTAATTTCTTTAATTTTTGATGGTATGGTTTCTGCTTAGGAAAGCCACATGCAGAAATTAATAACTCCAAAGAATGCTTTTCTGAGTTTCTGATTTTCTTAATTTGGTAGTTGTTAAATTATCTTTCCCTTAAGTGCTTGGCTGTTTTCCTAAAACAACACTTATAAGGGATAAATTCATCCTCTTATGCTTTGTGAATCCTACTAGAAATTTAATTGAGTCCAACAACAACAAAATGTGCTCTTCTGTCAAGGGCCTTGGAGTCGTGTGGAATCCAGACATATATACAGATAGATTTAGTAAAATCAGGTTAAGAGCAGTGATGAATTTGTATATGGACTCTGATAGGAGTAGAGGAGGAGTGATTTCAACTTTGTGTGGGGGAATCAGGAACATTTTCTCAAATAAGTAGGTGTGCTAGTGAAGTCACTGGGTCTTTCTCCTTAGTAGCTGTAATTCCTTAAGAACTAGGAAGCGGCATCTTGAAATAATAATTTACTGCTATTGCTGTCAGATTTGAAGACTTCTGTGCCATACTTGGTTCTCAAGAAAAGATACGTACGCAGTTCTATAGCTTACCGTTTCCATTTACTACCAAGCAACAGTTGCACTTTGGGTTTTTCTAGTATTTGGGGACTTTAGCCCTAATCTTAATGCTTTCCTTGCTGTATGCATCAAGTACAGAAATCCAGTAATGGTGGATAATATCAGAATGGCCTGTGATTGGGTTAACAGAAACACATAATTTTGTTGTCAAGTCATATTATTTCTACTTCCTTCACAACTAGAATTGAAGTAGTCAGTTTATTGCTCATATATATTTGGACATTTTATTTCTGAGAACTATTTTGAATAATCACTTTTAATTTAGGCAATACGTTGGAATCTCTGGTGAAATAGGATTGCTTAAATTGTTACAGATTAATCGTATTCTGTTGTTTTTGACATGAGTATTAGAATTAAGAGAGGTATACTTTCTGTACTTTTAGAATATCTAATCAGTATAATGGCCCAGGTTAAAAGAAAAAAAAAGATATTTTTCTGTTCTCTTTTACAGCCTTTTTGGTGTCCCTATTGCATATGATAACATCAAAGTTGTGGGTGAACTGGGAGATATTTATGATGACCAAGGACACATTCATCTTAATATTGAAGCGGATTTTGTTATTTTCTCCCCTGAACCAGGGCAAAAGCTTATGGTATGTATTTCACTTTTCTGACTTTCTTTGTATAATTCTGTAATTATGTAATTTGGAAAAATCTTAAGAAACAGTATATGCCTTGGGACTGAAATACATTGTAATTGCAGGCAAATAGAACTTATTTTAGAAAAATTATTCAAATTAAGTTATGTTTTTTAAAAGCTTCATTTTTTTCTAATACGTGGATATAGAGAGTTTATGGCCCATCAGTTTATTCTTTGCATAGTATCAGAATGATCGTATGGGAAAAAATCAGTTATTATTTTTGAAGTTCTGGATTCTACACAAGTTTCTACACAGGAAGGATTCAGCAGTGTAGCAGTATATAAAATAGGAGTTCAAGTGGTTGCAGGGCCAGGCAGGTAATGAAAGCAAATGAATGGTGGAAGATAGGGCAGCCAGTCTACGCCTAGAAATGAAGGCCCCATGAGGAATGTCCTCCCATATTTAGAAAACTGAAGTATAGAAATTGGGACCAGCACATGGTGTAACGGTTACATGACTGTACCCCCACGTAGTTGACTGCAATTCGAATCTCAGACCTGGAGGCCTAAAACTCAGTCGGGCACATGTGTGTGCATGCCCAAAATAATGAGAGGAGAATGGAGGAGCACAGATTGAGGAATGGCCATCGCCCCAGGGAATGATATCTCACTGTCTGCCTCTCAGGCAAGTGCACATACCTTCTAGGAAAAATCTCTTTTAAAAAATATTTGATGAGAAATCTAAAAATGTGTCCTTTTATTTTCTTTACCTGCCACATAGTCTTTTGTCAGCAATTCTATTTGTGTGTATGTATGTATATACATGCAAGTATGTTCATATGTATATATATATATATATATGTGTAAGTATTTATATATGTATGTGTGTACATGTTCTTTTTCTTCAACTAAAAAGAAACATTTTATAGGAGTCGCTTAATACAAATTAATTATCAGCCAGCACGTGATACTATTAATACAAATACAGGTCACATTTCTTTTTTTTCCTTTTAAATTCATTTATTTTTACATTCATTCACTGAACATCATTACAGCATACAAAATGCGATTTCCCATCTAGGATACACTGTACAGTGCTTAATCATACATGTTATTGTCAACAAATAATTTTCCAGGACCAGTGGTTGGCATAATGGCTATGTTGCTGGACTCCCTCATTGTCGACCACGGTTCAAGTCCCGGACCTGGTGGCTTAAAGTCACGCCAGGCGCATGTGCGTACGTACCCAAGATCCCGAGAGGAGAATGGATGAGAAGGGGTTGTGGCATGGCCATCCCCCAGTGGGGGGCGGTGGTGATTTTTTACTTTCTGTCTCTCTGTCTGTCTCTGTCTTTCTGGTGAGCGCATGCGCCCTATAGAAAAAAAACTCCCCCAAAACAAAAAAATGTATTTATATTTATTTATTTATAGTTTATATATATTATTATTACTTATATATTTATATATTGTTACTTATATATATTATTATTTTTATATATTTTCTTTTTTATATATTACATAATATTATATATTACATATATAATATTATATATATTTTTCCCCCTATTTCACACCCTCTGCCATTTCCCACCCCTCCCACACATTATCTCTGGCATCTACAGTTGCTTTCCATTCCTTTTTATTTCCCCCCACACATTTTATTGATTCACAAAATATCTTAATTAATCTAACCATTTTCAATAGCAAATTAAGCTGAAATATGCATATCTGTGAATTCAAGTCTGACTTTAGGCATGAAACTCTATGAATAGAATGAATATACTATAAAGTAGAACCTGACTGAGTCTATGTAGCTTAAATAGCTATTTTTAAATATATTTTTAATTTCAAGAAAGGTAGTTTTAGCTCTAATAAATCAAAACAAAAATATTAAGAGAACTTTGCTTAAGACTTAAAGCCAGGAAACAGGATTCTGTTCAAATAGTAGGTACATGAACCTATTGGCAGCTCAAGAGAAGACAAAAATCCTTAAGTTTGGTAGACAAAGCATAGAAGAAAATCAGTACTGTTTTAGTCAGAAGTCATACAATTCTACTTTACCAGTTCAGTCTCATGTACTTAATCTATCTTCTGTTGTGGTATGATCTTCCCATTTTAAGTTCTGAAAGATAAAATTCAACTCTAGATTTGTCCCTACCATTAAGTTGGCCATTTTCTTAGTTCTTTTCAAATTCTTATTTCTGTGTGTCTGTATTTAGTTTTCCTGACATAGCATTCCCTTCACAACTTTTTGGAGAGCTAGTCTGGTGTCAGTAAATTCTCAAGTTTTGTTTATCTGAGAATGTTCTTGTGTTTTCTTTCCATATGAAGGATAATCTTGCTGGGTATATGGTATTCTTGGTTGAAATTGTTTTTCACTCAGCACTTTGAATATACTTTCCCATTCTTTCCTTGCTTGTATTGTTTGCAGTGAGAGGTCCACTGTTAGCCTGATGGGATATCCTTTGTAGTTAACTTGATATTTTTCTCTTGCCAATTGTAGTATCTTATCTCTGTCTGTGGTTTTTTGGTTAATCTGGCTACGTTGTGTCTTGGAGAAGATCTTGGGTTGATACTGTTTGGAGTCCTATGTATTTCTTGGGTCTGGATCTTTGAATTGCTAGTTTTGAAAAGTTTTCTTCCAGGATTTTATGGAATAGATTATCAATGCCCTTATTAGTTTTCTCACCTTCTGGGATACTGATGATCTGGATGTTTGGATGTTTAATGGTATCTAGTATTTCTTGTATGTTTTTCTCATTTTTTGGGTAATTTTTGTGGTGGATTTTTCTAGTCCAGCCATTCTGTCTTTTATATCTGAGATTCAATCTTCTGTATGAACTAGTCTGCCTTTAATACTGTCAAGGGAGGTTTAGATTTCCTGTATTACAACCTTCATCTCTATCAGTTCCATTTGATTCTTTTTTTTTTTTTTTGGAGAGATTTTCACTGTAGGGCGCGTGCGCTCGCCAGACAGACAGAGAAAGACATAGAGACAGAAAGCGAGAAATCACCCCCCAGGGGGGATGGTCAGCCACAATCCCTTCTCCATTCTCCTCTCGGGATCTTGGGCACGCACGCACACGCGCCCAGCGTGAGTTTTAAGCCACCGGGTCCGGGACACGAACCGCAGTCGACTACATGGGAGTCCAGCGACATAGCCATTACGCTAACTGCTGGTTCCCCATTTGATTCTTTTTTATGGTGTTATTTCCTCTTTGAGATCATGCAAGAACTTCCTCACTTCCTGAAACTCATGGGCTCTTTTGCATCTTCTGGAGTTCACTGTCTCTCTTCTCTTGCATCTCTATTAGCTTTGTAACTGCATATCCTAAATTCTTCATCAGACATTTCCATGAGTTCCATTGTACTGTCTGTGGATGAAAAGGAGTTATTCTTTTCCCTTCGGGGAGAAGTATTTTCTTGCTTTCTCATATTTCTTGTATCTCTGAGGTGATTTCTGGTCATCTAATGTGTTCTACGTGTCTTCCTAATTTCTTGAAGTTCAATCTGAGTGTTCAGAGGCATGCTGGAGGAGGTGATCTGCAATTTCACTGCTGTTCCGTTTTTCCTCCAGGGGTGCCCTACCATTCGTGAATGGGGTCTGGAGGGTAAAGTCTCAGCAGAAAATCTTCATTAGTTTAGTCCCTGAAAGCACTGGTTCCCAGCTCCAATGGCGGAGTCTTCTGTGAAGCCTGTAGTTTTGCCTCTTCCCGTATGAATGGAGTCTGGAAGGTGAAGTCTCAGCAGAAAATCTTCATTAGTTTAATCCTTGAAAGCACTAGTTCCCATCCAAAAATATAGGTCAGGTTTCACTATGACAAAAATATATTTCTAATTTACAAAATGTTTCAATGTCAGTTAAACTGATAGAAATAGTATCCTTTACTGCCACACTGAGATTTGCAAATGAATTTCATACTATTAAAATTGGTAGTAGATCCCTTCTTGAAAATGCCCAAACTTCTGTTTTGTATAAATTATTATTATAAATGTACACATATACATGGAAATAACACTTAAATTGTGTAGAAAGTATAAAAAGGTGTCCCTTTTATTTTGTTGCCAGCTAATCCTCAATTTCTGTTGATTAGTTAGGGGTTTTTTGGGTTTTTTTTGGAGAGATTTTCACTGTAGGGCACGTGCGCTCGCCAGACAGACAGAGACATAGAGACAGAAAGCGAGAAATCACCCCCCAGGGGGGATGGTCTCGCCGCAATCCCTTCTCCTCCATTCTTCTCTCGGGATCTTGGGCACGCACACACACGCGCCCGGCGTGAGTTTTAAGCCACCGGGTCCTGGACACGAACCGCGGTCGACTACGTGTGAGTCCAGCGACATAGCCATTACGCTAACTGCTGGTTCCCACTAGTCAGGGTTTTGTATTGTTTTGTTTATTAATTTTTAGTGAGCTATAACTCCTTTTTGTTTGTTTTGCTTGTTTGGTTTTTTTTTTTTTGAGAGAGATTTTTGCTATAGGGCACATGCACTTGCTAGAGAGACAGAAAGTGAGAAATTACCCTCTGAGGGGATGGCCATGCTGCAGTCTCTTCTCTGTTGTCTTCTCAGGATTGTGGGCATACACACATGTGTGCCCAGTGTGAGTTTTAAGCCATTAGATTCAGGACGTGAATCTTGGTTGACTGTGTGGGAGTCCAGCAATGTAACCATTATGCCATCTGCTGGTCCCAGGCCACAGCTTTATATAATAAAATGCATAGATTGTAGTGTGTAATTCACTGAATTTTGAATAGTCCATGTGCTATTTTATCTCCTTAGAAAAGACTGTCATGCTCCTTCCTCATCAATTCCTGGTGTCTCTCTCCAGTATAACTCAGATATAATGATTTTTTTAAAATCATAAATTAGTTTTGCTTATTCTATGTTAGTGGAATTTCCACTGAACACTAAATTTGGCTCCTTTCTGGTTAATATTTTTGAGTTTCATCCATGCTATTGCATGTATTGGTAGTCTGTTTCTTTTCATTGCTCATGGTATTTAATTACATAAATATATATCACAGTTTAATTATTTGTCATCATTAATGGACATTTGGGCTGTTTCCACTATGAATCTATTCTGAATTAAGCTGTTATGAGCATACATTTCATTTCTCTTCAGTAAATAACTAGAAGTGGAACTACAAGGTCACAAGGTAGATGTGTGGTTAATTTTATGAAAAAACTATCGTCTGGCTATTTCCTATTTGACAGTTACAATTGATCTGCATCATTGCATACATTTGGTGTTGTCAGTCTTAATTTTAGTGGTGGGCATATAGTTGTATCTCATGGTTTTAACTTTCATTTCTCTCATGTGTAATTTTTATGTTTTAAGAAGGGTCTGTTCAAGTACTTTGCCCATTTTTAATTGCACTTTTGCATTTTTATTACTGAATTATAGTAGTGCTTTTTATAGTCTTCATACAAATTTTTTTCAGATAAATGCATCGTGAATATTCTCTGCCAATGTATGACTTGTCTATTAACTTTAAATGGTATCATTTGATGAATAGAGACTTTTCATTTTGATGACGTCATTTATCACTTGAATTTTTATAGCTATTGCTTTCTGGATCTCATTAAAAACTTGCCAGACTGTAAGTGGCAGTGTAATAGTAACACAGTACTCAAGTGATACTGGCCCACAGGAGATAGTCCTGGGAAGCCTGTCTGTGCATCCTAGATATACTCACGCATCCTAGATATACTCACACATCCTGTGCAACTTCAGAAGAAGAGAGAGAGACTAGGCTAACCTTTGGTTGTGAAGTTATTCTTCTGTAAACTTCTAGAAGCTTTGTGGTTTAAGGTTTTCCATTAAGATTTGAGATAAATCTTAAATAGTTTTTTATGTGTAGTATGAGCCCTTAGATCAGTTTTTGTCTGCATATGCTTATCCAGTTCTAATTGCATATAGTCAAAAGAATTTCATCTTTTCTTCAATAGACTTTTTTATAGAAAAATTAGGTGTGTAGGACAGAGTTCCCAAACGTGCTCTTTCACAAACACACACACACTGAACACAATTTCCCCTATTATTGATACCATCTTATATTAGTGTAGTACATTTTTAATTATTGAGCTGATATTGATATATTATTATTAAAGTCTATAGTTTAGATTGGAGTTGTCTGTTTGCATTGTACATTCCATGGTTTTGACAAAGGTATAATACCTTGTATTCACTATTATAGTATCATATGGATGGTTTTACTGCCCTAAAAATTTGATGTTCTGCTTACTCATCCCATACCCATCTCTAACAACCACTGATCTTTTCATTGTCTCTAGTTTTGTCTTTTACAAATGTCTTATAGTTGGAATCATATAGTATATGTTCTATGCTGTATACTATAGGACATATATACCTTTCACATTGGTTTCTTTCACTTTGTATTGTGTATTTATGGTTACTCCATGCCTTTTTATAGCGTGCTAGTTTATTTCCTTTTATTGCTGAATAAAATCCCATTGTGTGGATATACCGTAGTTTGTCTAGACTATCCGGAAACTACCAATGGGAATGCTGGATTCCTGATCATGACAGATAAGGGAGTCTTATTTTGTCATATGTGTAAGGACTACTAATGTTAAACAGTAGTGTTTGCATATCAATATTATATATAGTTCTATAATTCAGAAAATGCAATTTTTAAAAATATTTCAGAGTTTTCACTCATGTACTACTTCTATATTTTGGTTCCTGGGTCAAAATGGGAAAACTTAAGTTTCATAGAAAGTTTCATTTTAAGCTTAAAACTATATAGTGCATACTTTTATTTTTATTTTATTTTTAAAGCTTTCAATAATGCTTTTGTGATTTTTCTGGAATAGCCATGCTCAGAACTTACATATAAGGGATAAGCTGTCCTTCAATAGGTCTGCTTACATCCTGCTAACTTGAATCATTAAAGAATGTATTTTGAAGCTTTGAAATTCAGTCTGTTTACAGAAATCTAATGTAGACCCAAGCTATAAAAAGCATATGCTTCCTGCCTTGGGGTCTTTGCACATGTAGGTCATATCAGAGAGTATTTTCTGCTTGGTTTCAGTGTAGTTATAGAGTAATCTGCTCCCCAGGAAATTCTGCAACGGGGCTGAGGTGTTTTTGTGTGGGGAGTAAGAGCCCAGGGGATTAATTGTTGTTTATCCAACTGACATGCAATTACTTATTTAATAAAGTTTTAGCTTTTACAAAACTCTGTAGTGTTCAAAAGTGATGTTTTGGTATGACATGTGGTAAGTGCTAATAGAGATAAACTTTTTCCATATTAAATTGTACCATTAATTTGATGTTTTCTCTTTGAAGATCAGTTTGAAGCTTATAAAATTTGATTCACCTTTTAACTGTATGGATCTCTTCTTGATGTTATAGTTTTCTTTCTTATTCCTCTTCCTAGGGGACAGTTAATAAAGTGTCTTCTAGCCACGTTGGCTGCTTGGTACATGGGTGTTTCAATGCCTCCATCCCTAAGCCTGAGCAGATGTCAGCTGAGCAGTGGCAAACCCTGGAGATTAATGTGGGTGATGAACTAGAATTTGAAGTATATCGCTTAGACTCAGATGCTGCTGGAGTATTCTGCATTCGGGGAAAACTAAATATCACTAGGTTAGTTCTTCATCACGTTATTATCATGAGATACTTAATTGTCATTTAATTCTGAATTTAGAGAATGTATGCCTATTGTACAGAAATTCTGTTTAAGAATATTTGTGTTTTCAAACTATAAAATCAATATAAACAGTAATCTTAAACTGCTATAACAATGCATCAGATCAGTACTCTAAAGCTCTATGTCTCTTTAACTGGTCTATATTTTAAAATTCAGTTTTAGTCATTTTTGTTTATTTTGTTAATTTTTTTAAAAAGTTACTTTGATCTTGAAACCACTGAAAAGCCCAGTCGTGTAACTAGTAGCCTGCTTTTACTTTTATAATTGTTTTGCAAAAATAACAATTATTGTCATTTGTGAGAGATACACATTTTAATTTCTGTATTATTCTGTATTGAAGTTACTGTGAGAGCCAAGTTTGATGGTGGGGGCGGGGTGGGGTGGGGGGATGTAGGGGTGGATTTTATAGACTTGGTTACTGCTGAGGTTAACAAAATTTTCTTGATTTTTACCCAAATACATATTGAGAATATGAGTTAAAGCTCTGGAACAGCTGTCCCATGGGATGTTTTACAAATGGAAATGCGCTGTGTACATGCAGTGGACTTCTTCACTATCGAGTGGTTGAAATATGGCTAGTGCAACGAGGAACTGAATTTCCTAAGTCAAATCATTGAAAACTCTTCAATTCGTTTTTTTATAGAAGTTTTTGCCTTAGGGTGCGTGCACTCTCTGGAGAGAGAGACAGAGACAGTGAGAAGGAAATCACACCATAATCCCTTTTCCTCCCAGGATCTTAGGCACACACACACGTGTCTGGTGTGATTTTTCAATCCTCCAGGTTCAGGACTTGAGCCATGGTCGGCCATGTAGGAGTCCAGTGATGCAACTACTATGCCATCTGCTGAATTTAAATAATTACATGTGACTAGTGCTGCTGTGTAGGACTGCATTTAGAGAGGGCTGTTTCATTGAGCTACTTGTTTTAATTTAAGAGAGAGAAAATAATTTGCAACTTTGAAGCGGCTCTGTCTCTGTATAGATTAAGTAGAATAATGGACTCTTACTTAAAACAAGGATTCAAATAGTAGAAACTAAGTTTCCTAAGTAGGAAACTCCATGACTTTGATACATACCACAAGCATATTATCTTTCTATCAAATGTCGGTGGCTTACTATTAATAAGCATGAGTATTGTGATATTTAATGTTTTCCTGATCCATACCTAAATGTAGAAGACAATTTAAGAGGATTTTTTATGTAATTTTTATGTGTTAAAACAGTCTGGCAAAAGTACTTTGGAGGCAAAGAATTTAACATTCAGTAGCTCACAGATGTTTCAGTGGGCAGAGGATAAAATATTTGAAATTTATGCCACAGTTGTGTATTTTGTGTTGTCATTGTTTGGAGAATTTTAACATGCTGGGATAGTCTTGATTTGTGTTTGCCCTGTTATTTCTTGCTGATATTTTTAAAAAAACTATTAATTTACAGTTTCAAGTCCAAGTGCTCTGAAGCGTCTGAAGAAGTAGAAACTGGTATTGAAGAACCTGTTGAAAAACCTCCCAAGAAGAAAAAGAAAAAGAAAAAAGACCCAGAGACATGTGAAGTGGATGGTGATACCCCAGAGCTAGCAAATTTTGCAGATGCCACCCTAAAGGAAGAGACAGAACAGCAGATTCCTAATAATGTGAATGGCCTCTGGGAGGAAGAGCCAAAGAAGAAGAAAAAGAAGAAAAAGCACCGGGAAAATCAGGAACAGGACCCTGTTTTCCAAGGCAGTGACTCCAGTGGTTACCAAAGTGACCATAAAAAGAAAAAAAAGAAAAGAAAACACAGTGAAGAGGCTGAACTTGGCCCACTTTTGGAACACCCACCTAAAAAGAAGAGGGAAAAGTAATTTTCTATAGTGCATTTTAAATGTGATTTGGTTTCCAAAGATTGATTTATACATAGTAGATGAATAAATGTTTTGAATGATGTGAAGTGTATATATGTATATACACACATACACACACACACACACCAGTAGTTTACAGAAATAGGGAATGCTTCATTAGGAGTTGGAGAGTTTTTGTGCTAAAATTACAAAGCTGAATGTAAGTTAATTTTGGAATACCAGTATTATTAAAGTGCCATTTTATCAAATATAGAATAAAAAGGTAAGAGCCACTGTCATTCTCAGCTGTTTGGTCTTCCAGATTTTACATCTACATAAAATTATTTCTACAGTCTCAAGACTATCAAAAGGATTTTATAATGCAATATTCATATCATTAAAGACTGAGTTGTTTGAGATTTTTTCCTTTTATTTTTTGGCGTGGTACAGTTTACTTTTGGTTAGTATATATTGTTATCGTTTGCTTTTTTAAAACTGAAGACATTTACTAGTTTTAAATTGTCTTTATTATGGCCACTACAGTATTGCTGTCGTGTAGCTTAGAATGTTTTGCCAAAGGAGCTTCTGTAGCCTCCAGAGCTCTTAAGAACCATTCTCTTACAGCCCATGTAGGGGGAAACAGTATTCACTGTCCTTTCCTACCATGTGCATGTGTGTTGTTTGTTTCTTTTTTAAGTTTGAGAGGTTGCTGAAAGGGCTGTTTTCTTATATTTGTTTATTTGTTTCTCAACCATTCTAATTATGTTGTGTGTTGGAGGACAGGAGTCTGATGAGATAGGATAAAGGTGATTCTGACTAGTGGGAAATTTCCTGATTACTTTTTAATAACTAGGATAGGCCACTAGAAACTGTTCTAAAGAGAAATTAGCTGTTTGTGGCTTTCGGTGATAAAATGCAGAATGTATCTTGACTAATTGGAAAACACTGAGTTATGAAACAATAATGCTGGTTGAAGCTGATAATCGATGCATGGCCATATTCACCCACTTAACAGATATTTGACTATCTATATTGCATTCTTTTAGGGCCCAGGGATGTAATGGCAAACATGGTGGATGCCGTTTCTTCCCTCATGAAGTGCAGTAGGAAAAGCAGATGCATACACAGTATAAATAAGAAAATACAGAAAAGTAATAGTTGTGTTAAGCTCTATGAAGAAAATGCGGATTATCCACTTACTGTAACCTGTGTTAGTATTTGCAAGTAGATGAATGGTTGAATTGAATTCTCACTGTCAGTTTTTGTTGCGCTATATGTAGTGCTCTAGAACTAATCTCACAGTTTAATGTTTGAAGTAAACAAATTCTGCGGATGTGAGTGCTTAGAGAGTGGCTGACAGTCACAGCATTTGTCTACAGATGATGGAGGGTGCAGGTCAGTTTCTTTTGTTACAGTTGAGAATTCATGTGAGTACTGAACCCTTGGAATGAAGCTAACTCCAAATTGAGTTGTGTTCTCAGGATGAAATACATACCAGACTTTTGAAGATGTTCCCCCAAAAAAGAATGTAAACTCTCAGTTTTGATGTCAGTGAAATTATAATATGCTTGGTATAATGGCTAGAATAAAATACTGTAACTTCAGCTTTTTTCAGCTTATTTTTCTACAAAAAAAATAGAAAAATGTATTAAACATGAGGCTCACATTTCCTTTGGTATGGACAGTGCAGTTTTAAGAGTCTGAATTGGAAAGGGTTTGAAATAAACTGTGTTATCAGTCTATAATATAGTGACATACCTAGAAAGTCTTTAGTAAATGCTTCCTTCAAATTTAAAAATCGGTATGTATAATCGTAATCATGTTTGATAATATACAAAATTATTTTCTATTGAAATAATTCTAATCCTTCTACACACAAATCAAGAAAGATGTCAGATTTATCCTATTCGTGGGAAAATACATGTGTATAAGCAAAATAAGCAAATTCTTAACATGTTTTTATTATGCATCAAGTGGTACTTCTGTCATGTTTTAGTTTTAAATTATTTTCATCTTTGAAGACAAAGAGGAACAGCATCCTGAACTAAAAACTTGATTTGTTCATGCTTTCTCATGATGTGAGTAACTTTTAAAATGATCTGCCCACTTGGCTTCCCTAGAATGTATTGACATTTTTTTTCGATATAGAAATGCTGATGATGGTGTCCTTCATGTAGTCTTCAAAACACTGTCACATGCTATCTTTACCAAAGCTTTTCTTTTCTGTCTCAGAATGTACTTATTAAAAAAACCCTCTAGTCTAGACGAAACCCCTTACTTTCTCTTTAATTCCTGTCATTCACCAATTTCTAAACGGTGTAAGGCATCTCATTCGTTATTGGACACATGGATGATATAAGCAGTCTCTGCTCTTGAAGTCTGTGAGATCATTAGGTAGGAATAGTAAGTACAGAAAGTATGTGTGAGCATTGTGCAAACAACGTAGTGAATACTGCCACTTTGTATGTTTGAAGCAGGAGATAATGTTTAAGCCGCTAGATGAACAGCATTTTACCAGTGAAGGGAAAGAAAAGGGTTGTGGCAATCCAGGGTAAGAGCCAAGGAGAGGCCTGAGAGATACCTAATGCAAAAGGCGTCAGACACTACCTCCTACATAAAATTTTTCTGGACCAAAGTGGGCTTACTCTAACCTCATAATTCTTTTTTTGTAATAATTTTCAACTTCTTGCACTCTGCATTATTGTTTCAAACTGTTTACCTGTTCATAAATTCTGTTTCTTGATCAAATTTGTCCTAAATAAGTTTCGTAAGGACTTATTAAGGATGTATTGTGCCTTAACTATACAGTATTTAGCAGGGAGTTCTTTATACAGTAAAAGCATCAACAGATATTTCCCTTTTGAAATAATTAAATGAAAGGCATAGTTTCAAATGATATTTTGTTTCTGATTTGATCATCTAAGTCATTTCATCTGTTGTTTTAATAAATGCATTCATTGCTTTGCCTTGATGTGGTTTTCCAAGTATTTTTATTTTTGTGTCAATGATGATGTGTGTGAGAAACTTCCAGTTGTCAGAAATTTAGTCTCTTTTAATGTACTTTATACGTTTACCACATGGATCATCTTTGGACATTTTCGCTCCTAAAAACAAGATATTTTGTGTCACAAAATCAATATGTATTAATCTCCCTACCTTTTCCCTCACCACACACACCCACTTGATGATTTTATTTCTTGGAAATAACCACTACTGTCAATTCCATGTGTTGTTTTAGGAGTTTTGTTATGTTTTGAATAAATTGAAAAATATTTTAAAACATAAATGTAATCAACTACCCATATGGTCTTTGGACCTACTTACTCTCTTTTGTTTGGTATTGAATATCTTATATGGATATGTAGAGTCTGCTAATGTTGGCAAAATTTTAATGTATAATTTGTTTCACTTCTTGATGGGTGTTTAGATTCTTTTTTCTCTAATTCACATATACATTAAATGTGTGTGTATATACATCTTGATTTGCCTGATACATAGTTCTGAAAAGGGAATTGCATTTATCTAAGAGAATAAAGTTTTACTTTTTGATACAAGTTGTCAGATTTCCTTCCAGGAAATCATATATGTACACTTTTATCAGCAATTTATGGTTGGCAACCTTGCATACATGGAGGATTACCAATGGTTCTCACATTGTTTTGACAATCTAATAGCTTAAAATGTTATGTAATTTATAATCATTGGGCTATTACACTTTTGTTATTTTATTGACCATGGATTTATTTTCTTGTGAAGTTCTCTTTAAATTTTTTGATGATTCTGTGTAGCATTTTCCCCATTCATTTTCAAAAGTAATCTACATATTAAACATAATTTATTTATGTTCTTCATATTTAAACAATTTTGTAATTATAGTGTAACTATTTTACATTTGATATTTGGAAATCTTTATCCTTATTGAAACAATACTCTTTTGTATGAGTTTTATCTTACAGTTTTTATTTACTCCCTTAGGTTTTGCCATGGGGCACATGTTCTAGCTAGAGAGAGACAGCAGGAAAATGAGAAATCATCCCCCAAGAGTAATGGCCACACCACAATCCTCTCTTCTCTTGGGATTTTGGGCATGCATGCATATATGCCCAGGATGAGTTTCAAGCCTCTGGATCCAGGACTCAAACCACAGTCGACCATGTGGGAATCCAACACCTTAACCACCACTCACTCCATCTGCTGGCCCACACACTTGTTCTTACTAAGGCTTTTCATATCTAAAGATTATAAGATATTCATATGTTTTCTTCCAATACTTTTATCAGTTTACTTTTTTATATTAAAATTTTAGTCTATTTGCAACTGGAATAGAGTTTGATGTCGAAATTTACTTTCCTCAAATCAATTTCTATATATCCCCAAACTATTATTAGCTCCTATTTCTTTATTGATTTGACAACCTGCATTAGCTCGTTCCACATACTGTAAATGGTATACTCTTGATACTCATAAACCTATGTATTCTAATAAAGAGCCACACAATTTAATATGCTAATATAGTAGAATTCTTAGATGGCCCCTGAGATTTCCCACCCTTGGATAAGCCCCTAACTGAAGATAATTAATTTTACCACTTCAATAAAGCTACATCATATGGTACAACTGACTTTAAGAAAGGGAAGTGATCTGGATGGGCCTAACCTAATCACATGAGTCCATTTAAATCAGTTTTCTACTGGGGTAATAGAAGAATTGAGATTTGAACTGTGGAAGAAACTGATGGGAGAAAGGGTCTTCCTTACTAAAGATGGAAAGAGCCATGTGGCAAGGGCCAGAGGAGCTAAGAGCATTCCCTTGCCAACAGCTGGCAGGAAAACAGGGACCTCAGTTCTACATACTCAACTGAATTCTGCCAATGATGCAATGAGCCTGGAAGCAGATTTCTTCCTCTAAATCCTCCAGATGAGAAAGCTGGCTAATATAACAACTAGATTTTAGTCATGTAAAGTACCCATACCCACCTTGTTAGATTTCTGATGGAGAGACCATGAAGTACTAATTAGGTATTGTTTTACGCCACTAAGTCTGTGGTTATTTGATAAATAGTCATAGAAATCGAATATACATAGCTTTATGGTACTTTCTGATATCCAGTTATAATATCCTTTATTAATGTATTTTCAAAATAATCTCTTTTTTACATATAGTTCTATGGATATACTTAAAAATGCTAGAAAATGAAACGGGGGATTTTGATTAGAATTGGACTTAACTGAGAGATTGAGAAACAATTGAATTCTGTATAATACTTAGTTTTTCTAGCCCATAATATGTCTCTTCATTCATTCAAATCTATAACAGCCATAGTAGCACTAAATTTTTGTCTATTACAGCCTTTCATGTATTTTATTTCCAGGAATTTAATAGTTTTCTTGCTCTTTTTGATGATGATGATGATGTGTGTGTGTGTGTGTGTGTGTACAAATAGAACATTTTCTAGTTCTTACTGACATAAAAGAAAGTTATTGGTTTCATATACTAACCTATCTACTACCCATGCCAACAATTTGTCTACTTTATTGCCCTTCTCAAATCCCCATGGGTATGATTTGCCAGATTTGCTAGTTTTTGTTTTGTTCATTAATTCAGTTGCTAGTTTTTGGTTTGTTCATTAAGTCCTGCTGTTTACTAAATCCTGTATTTTGGCTTACTTTTTCTCCATGCCTTCTTAAGTTAAATTCTTCATTCCCGTTTAATTTTATGCTTTCTCATTTACTGTTGAAAGTATTTGACCCTAAAATTTCCCTCTCTGATTTCAGCCTTTTATGTATCCTTGAAGCTTTGACATAAAGTATTCTCATTGTTTATAATGTGTAACTACTCTTGAGATTTCACCTTTAAATTCTTTGACCCAAAAATTATTTAGAAGAATATTGTTCCAGTTTCTTTTCTTTCTTTCTTTTCTTTCTTTCTTTTTTTTCTTTTGGAGAGCTTTTTGCTATAAGGCGTGTGTGCTCGCCAGACAGACAGAGACAGAGAGACAGAAAGCGAGAAATCACCCCCCAGGGGGGATGGCCACGCCGCAATCCCTTCTTCTCCTCCGTTCTCCTCTCAGGATCTTGGGCACGCACGCACATGCGCCCGGTGTGAGTTTTAAGCCACCGGGTCCAGGACGTGAACCGCGGTTGACTACATGGGAGTCCAGCGACATAGCCATTACGCTAACTGCTGGTCCCTTATTCCAGTTTCTAAGAGGTTCCAATGTTGTTTTAATTGCTACATATTAATTGCTCCTTCCTATTATAGCTGTATTGTACATTGTGATCTTCAAAGGTAAGTTCTGATTTCTGCTTTTAGAAACTGAAATTTTCTTTGGGGCCAGTACATACATATACATTATTTTAAAAAATATTCTTTAAGTGATTGAGAAAAAATATCTTTTAAATATGTAAAGCACTGTTTAAGAATAGATTAGATATACCGTATCATGAGGATAAAATTCAAAAATAATGAATAATGCTGAACATGATGTGATATTATTTTTTGGCATTTCTTCTAGATAATTTATGGAAAGTTTATGTAATTTTCAACTCACTGTATCATTGGCTCTCTACTAAACAGGGATGTTCAGATGTTTAAACTTTTCTCTGCCAAACTCCTGCCAGGGCTGTAGTAAATGACTTCATGACATTGTTTTACATTTATTTTCAAAGAAATGTTTGATACATAGAATCAATCATCTTAAAATCTGGTTGCCTTTTCTCAGACATTAGAATGAGCAACCTATGTAACTAGCAGATTGCGAAATGGTTATGTTGCTGGACCCCCACGTAGTCAACCAGGGTTTGAGTCCTGGGAGCTTGAAACTCATTATGGGAGCATGTGTGTGTGTGTGCCCCAAATCTCAAGATGAGAATGAAGGAGAAGGGGTTGCTTTGTGGCCATCTCCCCTGGGAAGCGATTTCTCATTCTCTGTCTCTCAGTCTCTCTTGTCTCCAGCGAGTGCAGGCACCCTATAGCAAAAATCTCTTTAAAGAAATGAGCAACCTATGTATTCCCACCTAGGAACAGTCATTTGTTAAATTGTTCTGAACGTATTCGAGTTTTGTAATAAGGTAAAAATGTAGTAAGTTATAAAACAGGAGTAATTAACAGTAAAAGCAGAATCAGTGAACTTAAGTCCGCAACCAGGATTTCAATAGCTAATAAGCTGCAGCATGTATAGGTGCAGGCAATTAGTTCCACATTCATAAGATATAATTAGAAAATGCTCTGGTACTTACTGACTCAAGACAAAACCAGGACAAATGAAATACCTTGCCAATTCTTGTCTTAGTAAATGGCTGTAAATGGAAGGTAAAAGATCCAAAGAGGATCATAATTTATAATCTAAATATATTAATAAATGACCTTGCCTTGTGAAAGTATGATTAAGAGAGAAACAATCTAAATACAGTGTGTCTAGTACATGAAAGAAGTTCCTGTTGATTATACACCCTATCATAATATGTTTTAGACTTATGTCTTTCAGATTTGCTTATATATTGGCCAGAGCACCAGTTAAAGAGGATTCTTACAGGCATCACAAAACACGGTAGTGTCTTTGTGAGTATTTATGCATATGTACGAGGGAACTTAAAAAAGCTAACCGTCCAGAATGAACAATTGAACAAAAGTACTTCAGTGCCTTGTGTTATGTCCACTCCAGTTTTTAAATTTTCTTTAAACTTGACATGTTAAATGACAATGGTTTGACTCCAGTGGGTGGAATTCCTTCAAACAATTTTACTTCAAACAAGACTATGTTTCTTTACCTGAAAAGTGAGAACATTAATTTGGGAACTAGATCTGAAAGTTCCCTTTGGTGACAAAATCCCGAGTATCCTTGATCCTGTTGTCTGTTGTAGGTAGTATGTTATATACTTGGGATCTCATTTCACTTACTATCTATTGAAAACTGAGGCGTCACATTTTACTCACAAGGAAATCAAGTTATTCTGCCAGTTTCATGGATGCTGGCAGGGGACAAGAGTCCTAGATCAGAGACAAAGGACTTTTATTACTCATTGCACATCAGCAGCATGAGCTTCACGTTAGTGTCAGTTCCCTTTGTCCACTAAGGACCCCTAGGGACAATGCAGAGGATCCCAGGTAGGTGTATGTGTATGAAGTAAGTTTGTGTCACAACTGAGGCATTCCATGCTTTAATGCTATGGTTTGGGTAATTGTGCCTCAAAGATTCATGTCTTGGAAGCTTGGCCTACAATGTAACAGCTATGGGAAGTGGTGAGACCTCTAAGAAGTGAGGCCTACTGAGAGGGCATTATCCAATTGACTGGAAGCACTAGGGGGACAAACAAGTGGGGAATTCTGTCTCCTGTCCTTGCACATGCCTGTCCTCCTCTTTGCTTTTGTGGACCATGCCTGACACTTAAATTTTCCAGCCACTAGAATCCTGAGCAAACTAACCCTTTATGCTTTATACATCATCTAGTCTCAGGTATTTGTTTAGCAAAATAATAGGCCAAGACACATAGGAAACCTCAATCATTTATAATATACCTTAAAAAAATCTGTCCAACCTTTTATCTCAGAA